TTGATCCCGACGGAGTGGTGGGCCTCAAGCTCAGTCGTCTCCTGTGTAGTGGTGGCGGCGAGAGTGGGACCTCTGTCTAGCCCGCCACAGACTGCTCCAGGTAGTCAGCTGGGACCAGTCTGCCTCAGACGAATGGAGGGCGTACAGGTACGGCGGTGTGTTTCTCGCCGAGAAGTGTCAGACGCCGTCTTGCGGATGCACCCGTGCTGACGACGAGGACGCCCCGTCTTGCTTGCCGAGCGAGGGGGAAGGGGATGGTAACCGGCCTGCCCGCCTCTGTCGTCAGACGCGACCCTGTGTCATCAACCACCCCTCGCTGAATCCTGCTGCACCAACTGGACGATAGCGTGGAGGCGCACCGTCTCTACGGTGGCCTCCTGAAGGCGTGCCGGCCTTCTGGGACCGGGTGATATGGTGAGCACGCCGGCTGTGGCAGACGCCTGTCGCGCGGCCAGGACGCCGGCCGTCTGATGGCACCGCCGCCGCCGCGCCGCGTCCGTCGTGCGGCCTGGTGTGGGCGTTGCGCCCGTGGTCTGTGGTGCCGGGTGTGATTTTCAGCGTCAACAGAGAATCCGGCGCATTTTTGGATGGTGCTAGGCTGGTGTGACTCTGGGGGGCAATATGGTGTACTTTTAGGAACACTGTGTATCTTGGAGTACCACCGCTCATCATTGTGGGCGGTGCCATGTGGGGAAGTTTGAAAACTCGCTGCGTCTAGTTCTGTTTGCTTCAGAAAAAGTTCGATTTCATCTGTTTCTATGCAGTGCCGCTTGATCCGTGCCAGTGGATTATAGGACTCGTGGAGCTAACCGGTCGTCTTTTCAGCTGACCAGTGTTACGACCGAGATTGCAGTGGTGACCACGACGGAGCTGTTGCACGAGCAACCACGAGAAGGTGCTGTCAGCCATGGCGCTCGCCAACGTGTCCACCTCAGGAGTCTCACTGGCACGACAAAGTTTCGGCACTTGTGGGCAATTACCCAATCACCCTTGTAGGTTTTCTGGCTTCCGTTTTCAACCAGTGTGCTCCAGGCTGGCTTTAGTCGGTGGAGTAGTGAACGTGGGGTGTTGGGGTGCATTGGTGACCTGACCATGTACATTGGTGACCTGCCATGTGTTGCTCCAGGCTGAGTGGGGTAGTGAACGTGGGGTGCTTGGGGTGCATCAGTGATCTGACGTGCTGTGTGTTGCTCCAGGCTGAATGAGGTGGGGTACTGGGGTGCATTGGTGACCTGACGTGCTGAATGTTGCTCCAGGCGTAGTGAGGTGGGGTGCTGGAGTGCATCGGTGACCTGACGTGCTGTGTGTTGCTCCAGGCTGAGTAAGGTGGGGCGCTGGGGCACATCAGTGACCTGACGTGTCGTGTGTTGCTCCAGGCTGAGTGAGGTGGTGAGTGCAGCCGTGACCCGAGTGGTGGAGGAGCGTGGGGAGCTGCCCCTGCGGCCTCTGACTGCCCGCGACGTCTTCTTCTGTCATCTTTCGGCCGTGGACGACATCATTAGTGCGCTGATCGGCCGCGAGGAGGAGCTGATGACGTCAGGGGCCACTGCGAACGAAGTGGTCCGGCTGGTTGCTGAGACCAACAGCGTAATAGTGGTGAGGCTCACCAGCTGATGGTCTGGGCTCGGTATAGTTTTTCTTCTGCGCCTTGTGTGTCCCTCCAGGCAGTGACAAGCGAATGTTGTGTGTTGTCATTGCTCAGGCAGGAACAAATAATTTGCTGTTTGCAGTATCATCCGAAATTCGCCTCATTGGGTTTAGTTTGGCTCCAACTTTTCATTCCACATTGAACACATAGGCTCCACAATCTCCTGGTGGTTATTTTGTCCAGACCCATCCGGAGATACCCTGACGTTCTCTAACGCCGTGTTATAGCGGATGCTGACGGCGGCGGCGGCCGTGCTGGACGAGCTGGAGCCGGAGCCGCCGGCGGACGCCGCCCGCGAGCGCCAGCCGCGGGGCTCGGCCGGCGTGGCGCGCGCCCTGCTGCTGCGCCAGCACGAGCTGACGCGACGCCAGGCACTGCCGGCCACCGAGCCGGGCGCCGAGCGCACCGGCCTCTACCAGCAGGTGAGGCGGCGGGCGGCCGCGCTGCCGTGGCGGGATGCCGACCCGTGTCTGACCCGTGACGTCGGCGTGGGCCTGACCGCGGCTGCGACTGTGGCGGCCCGGCTGCGGCAGTCGGGCAGCTGTGGCACTGCCGCGGCGTCCGCTCACCCGGGCCCGGCGGACGAGTGCATGGTCTCTGTCCAGGGTCCGGCATAACGGGATGGTGGTCATTGACTCATTAAGAGCGGCCCGTCTCTGTCATAATTATCTCCGTCGCCGAGATGTTGCTTCATTACACCTTTCACCTGCAGCCCCTCCTCCTGCTGATGAAGATGAGCTCGACAGCCCAGCTCTTCCGAGCGTCCCTGCTTTCAGTGGGTTGGGTGGGAGCCGCACAGCGCAGTTTCGGAGGTTCTGTGATGACGTTCTCGTCAGACACGTTGGCCTGCGATCATCGGTTGCCAAGTCAAGCTCGTCGCTTAGCTGTCGGTCCCGCTTCTCGCTTCAGAGACGACCAGCAATCGTCCGTCTTTCCTGTTCTGCCCTGCCTTGCCTAGCCCTGTCCTGCCCTGTCCTGCCATGCCATGTCATGCCGTGCGACGCCATGCCCTGCCCTGCCCTGCCCTGCATGCGATATGCCCTCAGCTGAGGTCTTCACGTGTCCGCTTTCATCCTGATCGCGAACAGCTGATGTTGGCTGCCCTCTCACCGACCGGCCGCCTCCGCCGATTGCCCCCCTCCCGTGTGCCTGTCCGGCTGACGCGTGGGTCTCCGCCGCCGCCAGCTGCTGGAGCTGGCCGACCTGGTGCTGGCCGGGTATACGGCGCAGCTGGCGGCGCTGCGCGGCACGGAGCGGCACGCCGCCGTCCAGGCCGAGTTCGAGGCCGACCGCTACCACCTGATCGAGCCGCTGCGTAAGTGAGGGCCTCCCAGCGGCGGGCTGGTGACTGGCTGTGCAGCTGGGATAGTCTTGGATCACGCGCTCGCCGACCCGCCGTTTACTGCGGTGCATCGTTGCGTGTGGCGCAGCAAGAATAAAATTGGGTCGCCCCACGGGCTGGTTCGTCAAAGCGGTCGTGGTTGGTCGATAGTGTCTGTGCTTGCGGTGCGCGCTGCTCCAGATGGGTCAGTGTTACGTGCGTGCTGAGTCGCATAGCGCTCCGTCGTCATTTCAGCCTGCGTCCCCAACAGTGCTGTGGAATATTTGCATCGCCTTCACAATGTCTAGTGTCGCTGTTTGAATCCCGTGAGCGGGTGGGCCTCGGTGCCCGGCTGCGACGCTCCGTTGGACCCGTGGCCGGGCGCAGTAACGAGCCGCTCCGTCAGAGACGTGTGCCCGCCGCCGCAGTGGAGGCGGAGCAGTACGAGCGGGCCACCAGTCTGGCCGAGAAGTACGCCGACTTCCGCGTCCTGGTGGAAGTGTGCGAGCGCACCAACAGCACTGAGAGGCGCAACAAGTACCTCGCACAGTTCGCTGACCAGGTGAGCCGACTGGCCGACTCGCCCCACTCTAGCCCACCGCTTGTTCCTTCGCTTGCTCCTGTGCTTGTGTGTTCGCTTCCTCGCCCGTACACTGCCTGTTCGCCCACTCCCACTCACTCACCCTGTCATTTGTTCACTCAGTCGTCCTTTCAAGCACTCGTTCATGTGCCACTCAATCACGCATTTACCCATTGGTCCACATCTCCCACTGATTTATCCCCCAACTTTTTCCCCCTGCGCCACATTATTGCCGCCATTGAACCCTGCATTCCCGTCGCCCGCGTCGCTCGCGTGCATTGCCCTCTCAGTCCGGTTTCCTTCCGCGATTAGGTTTGATATTGCAGAGCGCCATTCGTGGAAGGGCGAAACGACGGCTGAGGCTCTCTTCGGTCCTGTACCTTGCGTAAGCGGCTGTGTCACCTTTGGTGGAGCGCAGTCTGGTCGGCCTGGAGTTATCCGCTCTGGTCCGTTTTTCCTTGGGCACTACTTATCGAAACGCCCCAAGGTCAGAGGGTTACGGGAGGTGGTTGCTGAACCTGTCACCTCATCATCTCTGGCCGTGTCGGATAGGACTGTCTCAGCTCAGCGCGTAGGGTCCGTTGCGCCCCTGAGCTGCCGAGTCTGCCCGGAATCTCGTCGGTACGAAGCCGTGCCCCACCGCACGTTCTCGTCTCGGCAGGGATTCGCCAGCTTCGTGTTCAACTGGTACCTGGACCAGGGCCGGCGCGGGCAGCTGCTGAGCCAGTGCCGGCAGGCCGAGCTGGCGGGCTTCCTGCACGATTACCGCGGCCTGCGCTGGCTCAACGAGCTGGAGGCTGGCCGCTTCGCGCAGGCTGGAGACACGCTGGCACAGTGCGCTGACGCCGAGACCGAGTTCCTGACCAGGTGAGCTGCTGCTGCGGCCTGACGAGACAAAGCTTCGGACCAGGTGAGCTCCTGACCAGATGAGCTGTTGACCAGCTGAGCATGTGAACTACTGATTAGGTGAGCTGCTGACCATGTGAGCTACAGATCAGGTGAGCTGCTGACCATGTGGCTACTGACCAGGTGAGCTGCTAACCACGTGAGCTACTGACCAGGTGAGCTGCTGACCAGGTGAGCTACTGACTAGGTGCGGTGCTGACCAGGTGAGCTGCTGACCAGGTGCGCTGCTGCTGCGGCCAGACGATACGCGTCTCGTGAGTCCGTCTGTGCCGGTTGCCTGCCACCCCTGCCCTCCGCGCGCTGCCGTACCGGCCACTGACGTGCCGCCGCTGGCCTCCTCAGGAAGAAGACCTACCTGAGCCTGTCGAAGCTCTGCGCTTTGGCAGGCCAGCAGGGCGATGAGCTGGAGGTTCGCCTGACCAAGCTGAAGCCGGCCATCGAGCTGAGCCAGCTGCAGGAGCAGCTGCCTTCCTCCGTGCTGGAGGTCAGTCGTGGCCGTTGGCACACCGCGCTATTTCGCTGCAGAATGGTGCGCGCGTTGCGGGCAGGACTCCATAGCCTCCAGCCGGGGGCGTTTTTCCTCGCACCAGCAGGTTATGGTATTCATGAGATGGACTTTTTCAAGTGGATCGGAAGGCGCCGTGAATGATCGCTGAAATGGTGGTCGTCGCTCAGCGTTCCATGTTGGTGAAAGATGGCCGGCCCACCTGGTGCCAGCGTTGCGTGCGAAGTGGCCGGGGGTAGAGAACTGAGAGACGCCTGTAGACTGGTGAGGGGCGATGAGGGGGGGGGGGGGGGGGGGAGGAGAGCGACGCTGGGCCGGCGAAAGTGTTAAGTTGCAAGCCGGCGTGTCATCTCGCATAGGCACTGCCTCATTCAAATCACGTGGCGTCCCCAAGCATGCCGCGAAGACAGGAACTCCGCTAAAAGCCCACACCGTCAAGGGCTTTTGACCACAAGCCGCCGGTACTCACCGAAAGTCGCGAATAAGCGGAAACAGATACACAGGGGAAAAAATTATTGACAGAGCGCTATCTAATCGCGCAGTTGTCCGGTTGGCCCAGAAAACACGGTTAACATGCGGTCCGCGCTCCCTCTCCACCGCCTTGCTGTGGGGAATGACAGGTCACCTTCGGACCGGTGTCGATTTTGAGGCCAGCCGATGGGATGGCCAGCTGATAGCTCGGGGTCCGGGGCGGTGGTGTCAGCGCTCGCTCGCACAGTGGTGCGGGATCCAACAGGCTGACATGCAGGCCAGAGGTCGGCCGGTGTGGGAAGTTAGGCACGCATCACGTCAGTCACGCCGCACGATTGTCGTTGAAGTGGTTGTAGCGATGCGGACAATGGTTATCTGGCGAATGAAACAGTCGTTCTAATTTGACATGCCTTGCGTCTCGGGTAAATGTGTATTGGACCGATCTTGGAATCGAAGCTGACGTGCAAGGATCTGCTTCATTCTGTCCTGCTGCCAACTTCAGTCGCACGCCCTGACTGCGCTTGCTGCTGGAAAAGGCAATACTTGTTCATCTCGATTGGCTGTCCTCTTATTTCCGTGAGGGTCCTCCACGTTGCTACCCTGGGCCAAGGCGACGCTCTTCTGCGACCCTTGACCCCTGACCTGACCTGACCACAGGCGCACGGGATCGACGCTGAGACGATGCACGTGCTGTCGCCGCGCGAGCTGATCCTGCTGTACGTGTCGCCGGAGAACGAGGGCGCCAACGAGTTCGACTTCGAGCGGGCGTTGGAGCTGGCCGAGTCGGCCACGCTCGAGGGCGGCGACGAGGAGCGCGAGCAGCTGCGGCTCGAGATCTGGTGCCGCGCCGTGCTGCGCGACTTGTGGACCGGCCTCGACACGGACCGGCCGCTGGAGGCGTGCCGGGACACCCTGCTGTTGCGCACCATCAGGGGTCTGCAGCGGTCGGGCCGGCGGCCGCTGCACCTGCTACCGGAGCTGAACCTGCTGCTAGACTGCAAGCAGCTCAGTAAGCTGCGCGGTGACCGCGACTTTGCGTTCCTGCTGGGTGCCGTGTACGAGTACGTGGAGCGCTTGGAGGCCCACGTGGGGGAGCAGGCGTGAGCGGCGGCACGGGTGGCGCACGCTGGGCCGGCTCATGCGAACAGTGCTCGTGCCAGTGTCCGGAGCAGCGACTGCCGTCATCGTGGTCGAGGATCCTGACGTTCCCGTGCAAAAGGACCTGGTTCACGGCAGTGGCGCCCTCATCGTCGCGCGTGAAGCGTGCCGCACACCGTGTGCGCCGGTGCTCGTCTCGTCCCTCTCGCCTCGTTTCGTCCCTCTCGCCTCGTCTCGTCCCTCTCGCCGCGTCTCGCCCGTCTCGGTCATCGTTGGCTGGTTGCGGTGGACGTCTGTTTCGCAGCCACATTGGCCGCTGGTTGTGGCGGGCTGAGGGACGGCCCAGGCACGTGTGACTGAGATCGCCCAGTCCCCGGGGGCGGACGGTCATCCAGTCCGAAGGGAGTCTTGGGCGACGAAGGGTTCAAGGCCGTACAATACTGCCACTGCCACATCCTTCCCGTGCTGGCAAATGATGGAAGGTTTCGTTCAGTTTAGAATCACAGCCACGGCTATCCGAAATACATGGTTCTGTTTGTGCCGTTCGTTTATGTAACCATTGGTGACATGGCTTACCCAGCGCAGAGCAATGAGTTCTGCACATAGTCTTACCGGACCGCGCTATTGTACAACAAACCACACACGCCTAAAAAAGCGGGGTGGAAAACGACTGCTCCAGATGTGCGCGACTTCGAGCGCAATATCGGAGGAGGTGGTGCTGTTGAACGATGGTCTGGAGGGCTCTGATTCCCAAACGCGTTTGAAGCTGCAGCTGTAAACGGTGCCTGATTTTGGATTGATGCATCTGGAGGTTTGCCCGCGTCGAATGACTAGAAGTGTAGATTCTTCACCGCCCCGGTCTGGCCCAGCCGCTTCGGCTTTTAACGTGGTTTCTTTTCTGGCACAACTGATGTTTTTTTGTTTTCAGCGTATTTGTACGCTGTCTTTTTGATCAAAGTTGGATTTTTGCAACACTGCAGCGCCGCGAAAAATGTCCTTTTTCCCGTCCAGCAACTTTGGCGGTGCGGTAACCGCGAACAATCTGGAGAGCACGAGTCGGAACCTGGCGCTCATCTCAGCAGCCCGAGATTGCAACGACGCGATACGTACGCCGGCTGACAGACGGGAAACGGACAAGAAACGATCGTACTGACCCAGACTGATGTTGACCTTCACTGCAGTAGTGAATAGTGATCGAATCTCTTGTCACCTCTGTCCAGGGCATTGCATGTGGTAGGGATAAAGCGTGGTATTCGTGACCAGTTTAATAAACGCACTGGAGGCGCGCGTTTGCGGAGGGCGTACACACCGCCATGAGAACACGTGGTAACTGATGCGCAGCAATGGAGCATAGCAAGGCAGCTACTAAGTCCGAAATGTAATCGACGTTTATCCATATCCATTTTGTGTCCGTTAAATGATTTTCCAAGGTTACTTATTGCCGTCGAATTTTCGCCCCAATGGCTTATTCCGAGTCGTATGTTGTCCCTGGTGACTTTTTGTTCATTGGTGTGCTTTCAATCTTTTACTACCACCGTCTTCTCTTTCATCTTTTGCTTATCCTACTTCGACGTCTTCGACGACTTTTTATCCCTCCATTTTCACTCTCATCCCCACCACCTTTTTTGCTTTCAGCTGTTTTCGTCCGCTTCTCCGTCATTCGGCTTTTTCATTTGACTGCGGAAACCCTGGCACGGTAGACGGGGTTCGCTCGCACCGGAGCCGGCGGCGTCACGTGCGTCGGTCGCTGCCGACCGGAAGCCGACGGGCGCCGATGACGCTTGCGGGGTCTTACACCTGCGGAGAGCGCCTCCGGAGAGCGCGCCACGTCACCCGTCGCCGCCAACGGCAGCTCGGCTGCATCAGCGCCGAGACCCGCCAGGCCGGGGCTGTATGGCCCTGTCAAGGCGCATGACCCTGTCAAGGCATCCGTGGGGTAAGTGATGGTAGTTTTTCTTGTACCATAGTAGGCAGTACAAAATCCTGAAATTATCTAGATATAGCAGTTTGGCTGGCCGCGAGAGCTCGTGTCACTCGCTGCGATGCAACTAATGGAAGTGCACGTGACTTTCAGTGTCCCTCGACTTTGCAGACGACCGGGCGTCTCGTCATCCTGCTACAGAGAAAAACGTGCTCGCTAAAGTTGGGTTGGTTCCGTTTGGAAAGCACGTCTGCATATTGTATTCTCATCGGAGCTGTGTCTCACACCACGTTGCTAAAGATCGCCCGGATCGTTTTTACCACACACGATGTTGACGACGTGCGTTTGACTGCTTTGCTGCCATGTGTTAGATATAGCCGGGGCAGACCATGGACGGACCCATGGCTGGGTAGGCCGGAGGGCTTCCAGGGACGGTCCAGATGTGACAGCTGACCACCTAGGATGTAGTCCTCCGAGCCATGCGAGACAATATACGGATGAAAGACAACCGACGCTGTCCAAGCCAGATCATCCATTACCGGAATGATAAGCGCTCTGGCCAAAGAGCTTCCGGTCTATGCGGAGCCGGCGTGCACGTCTGTGACAGCAGAGCGGCGGAGCCCAGTAATGCAAATTCAACTTGTGTTGCTGTGATCTGCTGGCTCTGGCGGTCACACTTCGACGTTCTATGTACGTTGCGCATTCGCATCACTGGCAGTGCCCTTAAAAACAAATGCACTGTACCGCCCGTTTAAGAGATATAAATTTTAGGTTGCACGTTTGTCTCACGGTGTGGCGCATAGTGGTGTAGCGCTACTGGACATATGTAGCTCTTGACAGGTATGGCCTGCGGCCGGTGACTGCGGCTGTGCAGAAGGTCAGTAGACGTCAGAGGGCAGGACGGACCGTGCCGAGCATTGCAGCATGTTAAACTTTCGCCCCGACCTGGAATTGCGCGATCGGATGATAGCGGTCAGGGCTTATACAACAAGTGCTGCTTAGCGCGCGCTCTGATCCCAATAAATCCATCCATTCTAGAGATTCGGATGTGATCTCAAAAATATCACACTTGCAATGTGCTGGGTTAGTGTAAAGATCATACCTGACAACAGTTCAGACTAAGGGGCCGCATATACACAGATGGTGTCGCCGTCGTTGTCATCAATCTTCGCAGGTGGCGCTGCTCTCGATGTTGGCGAACATCAATATAGAATGAACCATACCCAGCATTCAATGGTGGAGAAGCGTTCATTCACACTGGCGTCGTTGAACGACGATATACCTGACACATCAGCCTCTCGCTAGGGCCAACAAAACTGAGCGGTGCATGAAGCGAGCTCCAATCCGCGCGAAGCATTGCTCAGCGGTTCAGGACCGGCTGCACTGAGCGCCATAGGCGATCGCCGGTGTATCCCCTGTCTTCAGTACGGTAGATAGCATGCAGCGCAATAGTTTCTGTGTGACGTGTCTGGTCGCCATCCTGCATCGCGTGGTTCAGCTGTCCCAGCAGCGTACTAAGAGAATGACGCCGAGCGAGGTCAATATATTGGCAAATTGGATTCCCAATGTCGGGTGGCGCTCAGAGAAAAGCATGGCTTACTTGCATCATAACATTAGCCGGTCTCCACAACGGCGTTTCTACAGGTCAACTGTGATGTTAAGAGCAGGTATATCCGCGGTCCACGTTAGCTTCCTCCCAGGGCTGCAGGACACGCCGAGTACAGACGGGTATGGGCGCCAGTGGCCACGAGAATGGGCCCTGTCGTGTCATGCCCATCGCACCCAGCTGGCGAAATAGCGTGAAAAGATGGTTAACACGGTCACTTTTAATGTTATAAGAGTTGGCAACTACACTATTTTGAACCATTTGCCCATCACACCAAAAAATCCGCAGCCTCTTCGCGGGCATGATGTCCATTTTCTTTCCATTCTTATGTTCGGAGGCATTATCGTGTGTAGCAAATGCGATGTAGCTGATTGACAACACAACACCAGATGTCAAGGCATAAAGCATTTCCGTATTTTGCCATTGATTAATGTTGACTCCGGCAGCGGCATCACGCCAGCTTCTCCCAGTGCTCTCCGACGGCGTCAGTTGGCATAGCGTTCAGATTTTGGAGCTCCCCAAAATAAGCTCACCTGATGCACTCTTCGCTCAAACGGGGCACCCGTCTCATTTAACCAACGCACCCTCACGGTGTTGCATTCACGTGTTGGCACACGTTAGCAAGTCCAGGGTTAGCAAGCCTCCGCCATGCTTTCTTGATGAACAAAATCTGAAATTCATAAAAGGTCGTACCCCTACTGTCCCTTCACTTTGCGCCGTTCCTAGCATACTATCCTACGAGTTATAACAAAGGTATAACCTAAGCCTATAATCCGAGCCTCACGCTGAGCATCACTTTCACTGCCACGATGCAACGGTTTCAATTAAAAATGGATGAAACAAACATGCTTATTGCAGGACGCTGCCATCAGCATTATTGTGCATTCTAGGATGTATTTCTGCGGCGAACCTCGTTCGCTCCAACATTCGCTTCCACTGCCCTTCCATCGGAGGCACATACGTGCGCCTCGGCAGGCCCACGTCACAGCTCAGCCCTGCGCGAGACAGCCGGTCCGCGCCCGTCGCCGCCGCCGCCACTACAGCACGTAGAAGCACCAATACCCCACATTGAACAGCACAAATGACACGGGAAACACCACACGCGAATACTTGTCGATGCTGTTGACGTCACGAATCCGCGGCAGCGAGCGGCCAATTGCCGACGCGCCTCGCCGCAGTGACGTCAGCATGCGACGGCGGCCGGGCGCGGCGCGACCAGCGGGCGGCGAGCGCGCCGCGCCACAGTTGCCGCGGTGGCGCAGCGTCGCTGGCGGCGGGAGACGCACGTCGCGCAGCTCTATGATGCCGTCGTCACGGCCGGCGCGCCAGCCGTCGGCGCCGCCGGCCGCCTTCTGCGCCTTCTTCTTGGCGCGCGCGCCCCAGTAGGTGTAGTTGACGGCGGCGTACTCGAGCAGGGCGGCGAACACGAACACGAAGCACATGACCAGGTAGATGTCGATGGCCTTGACGTAGGAGATGCGCGGCAGGGAGGAGCGTACGCCCGTGCTGATGGTGGTCATGGTGAGCACCGTGGTGATCCCTGCCGGACAGAGGGCGTGGGGGGTCAGGGTGTGGTGATGTCTGCCGGGCAAAGGGGAGGTGCGGGTATGGTGATGTCTGCCGGGCAAAGTGGAGGTCAGGGTATGGTAATGTCTGCCGAGCACAGTGGAGGTCAGGGTATGGTAATGTCTGCCGGGCACAGTGGAGGTCAGGGTATGGTGATGTCTGCCGGGCAGAGAGGAGGTCAGGGTATGGTGATGCCTGCCGGATAGAGGGGGGTTGGGGTATGGTGATGTGTGCCGGACAGAGGGGAGGTCAGGGCATGGTGATATCTGCCGAGCACAGTGGAGGTCAGGGTATGGTAATGTCTGCCGGGCACAGTGGAGGTCAGGGTATGGTGATGTCTGCCGGGCAGAGAGGAGGTCAGGGTATGGTGATGCCTGCCGGATAGAGGGGGGTTGGGGTATGGTGATGTGTGCCGGACAGAGGGGAGGTCAGGGTATGGTAATGTCTGCCGGACAGAGGGGAGGTCAGGGTATGGTGATGTCTGCCGGGCAGAGAGGAGGTCAGGGTATGGTGATGTCTGCCGGACAGAGGGGAGGTCAGGGTATGGTAATGTCTGCCGGGCAGAGAGGAGGTCAGGGTATGGTGATGCCTGCCGGGCAGAGAGGAGGTCAGGGTATGGTGATGCCTGCCGGATAGAGGGGGGGGGGGGGTTGGGGTATGGTGATGTGTGCCGGACAGAGGGGAGGTCAGGGTATGGTGATGCCTGCCGGGCAGAGAGGAGGTCAGGGTATGGTGATGTCTGCCGGACAGAGGGGAGGTCAGGGTATGGTAATGTCTGCCGGGCAGAGGGGAGGTCAGGGTATGGTGATGTCTGCCGGGCAGAGAGGAGGTCAGGGTATGGTAATGTCTGCCGGATAGAGGGGAGGTCAGGGTATGGTGATGTCTGCCGGGCAGAGAGGAGGTCAGGGTATGGTGATGCCTGCCGGATAGAGGGGGGTTGGGGTATGGTGATGTGTGCCGGACAGAGGGGAGGTCAGGGCATGGTGATATCTGCCGAGCACAGTGGAGGTCAGGGTATGGTAATGTCTGCCGGGCAGAGAGGAGGTCAGGGTATGGTGATGCCTGCCGGATAGAGGGGGGTTGGGGTATGGTGATGTGTGCCGGATAGAGGGGGGTTGGGGTATGGTGATGTGTGCCGGACAGAGGGGAGGTCAGGGCATGGTGATATCTGCCGAGCACAGTGGAGGTCAGGGTATGGTGATGTCTGCCGGGCAGAGAGGAGGTCAGGGTATGGTAATGTCTGCCGGATAGAGGGGAGGTCAGGGTATGGTGATGTCTGCCGGGCAGAGAGGAGGTCAGGGTATGGTGATGCCTGCCGGATAGAGGGGGGTTGGGGTATGGTGATGTGTGCCGGACAGAGGGGAGGTCAGGGCATGGTGATATCTGCCGAGCACAGTGGAGGTCAGGGTATGGTGATGTCTGCCGGGCACAGTGGAGGTCAGGGTATGGTGATGTCTGCCGGGCAGAGAGGAGGTCAGGGTATGGTGATGCCTGCCGGATAGAGGGGGGTTGGGGTATGGTGATGTGTGCCGGACAGAGGGGAGGTCAGGGTATGGTAATGTCTGCCGGACAGAGGGGAGGTCAGGGTATGGTGATGTCTGCCGGGCAGAGAGGAGGTCAGGGTATGGTGATGTCTACCGGACAGAGGGGAGGTCAGGGTATGGTAATGTCTGCCGGGCAGAGAGGAGGTCAGGGTATGGTGATGCCTGCCGGGCAGAGAGGAGGTCAGGGTATGGTGATGCCTGCCGGATAGAGGGGGGGGGGGGTTGGGGTATGGTGATGTGTGCCGGACAGAGGGGAGGTCAGGGTATGGTGATGCCTGCCGGGCAGAGAGGAGGTCAGGGTATGGTGATGTCTGCCGGACAGAGGGGAGGTCAGGGTATGGTAATGTCTGCCGGGCAGAGGGGAGGTCAGGGTATGGTGATGTCTGCCGGGCAGAGAGGAGGTCAGGGTATGGTAATGTCTGCCGGATAGAGGGGAGGTCAGGGTATGGTGATGTCTGCCGGGCAAAGTGGAGGTCAGGGTATGGTGATGCCTGCCGGGCAGAGAGGAGGTCAGGGTATGGTGATGCCTGCCGGATAGAGGGGGATTGAGGTATGGTGATGTGTGCCGGACAGAGGGGAGGTCAGGGTATGGTGATGTGTGCCGGACAGAGGGGAGGTCAGGGTATGGTGATGTCTGCCGGGCAGAGGGGAGGTCAGGGTATGGTGATGTCTGCCGGGCAGAGAGGAGGTCAGGGTATGGTGATGCCTGCCGGATAGAGGGGGGTTGGGGTATGGTGATGTGTGCCGGACAAAGGGGGAGGGTCAGGGTATGGTGATGTCTGCCGGGCAGAGGGGGTTCAGGGTATGGTGATGTGTGCCGAACAGAGGGGGAGGGTCAGGGTATGGTGATGTCTGCCGAGCACAGGGGGGGGGGGAGGTCAGGGTATGGTGATATCTGCCGAGCACAGTGGGGGGGGGGGTCAGGGTATGGTGATATCTGCCGAGCACAGTGGGGGGGAGGTCAGGGTATGGTGATATCTGCCGAGCACAGGGGGGGGGGGTCAGGGTATGGTGATATCTGCCGAGCACAGTGGGGGGGGGGGAGGTCAGGGTATGGTGATATCTGCCGAGCACAGGGGGGGGTCAGGGTATGGTGATATCTGCCCAGCACAGGGGGGGGGGGGGGTCAGGGCATGGTGATATCTGCCGAGCACAGTGGAGGTCAGGGTATGGTAATGTCTGCCGGGCAGAGGGGGTCAGGGTATGGTGATGTCTGCCGGGCAGAGGGGGTCAGGGTATGGTGATGTGTGCCGAGCACAGGGAAGTGCACGGTCCAGTGATGATTGTCGGAAAATGTCAGGTACAGAGACACAGGGAGACAGGGTCTGCCAGTGAATTTTCACCTCTGTCAGGCACTATTGTGAGTAGTCCGTAGAGATGCTCTTTTTTCTTCTAGGGAGAGAGTCTTTTGGGAATTGACCATCGGCTTTCTTCAATCATGGCTCAGCACAATGCACGTATATCATTCATCAAGCAACTTACGTTGTGCATGAACTAGGAGATTCATATAAAAAGAAAATCTATTCACGGAAACCTGACAGAAGCATCGGATATTTTTGGAAAAAGACCAATGGACAGACACGTGCAATGAAAGCTCAGTGCTCAACGTTTAATGCTGAAGGTTCGGTGCGATATGGAGAGCTCCATGTGAATCCGTGAGCGGAGAAAAGACCACGCATGGACGAGGAGTCACGCGCCACGATACACTGCCAGGGAGTAATGGTTGTAAGTCGCCAATGTCATCACAGCTGAACGTTACGTTTGGTTCAAGTCAAGTGTACAAAGCACGCGATGCATCCATTTGCTGTCGAGTACAGCGGGCTGGAGCGCGACCGCCCGTCACTCCGCGTGCATGGCCACTAGCGATCAATAGACCCAAGTGTCCCCCTGCACTCGTGCAAAGCTGCCAGCCTGTGTTACGCCTTCTCCTTGGCGCCCGGCACCACACATCGATTTGAAGCCGTCGGACGGCCGGGGCCTCCATGCACCCGGGCGAAGAAAGGATCGCGGCGGACGCTGCTGCGTCCGGTGCATCCGTGGACTAGGGATGCAAGTGCCGCTGTCGCCGGTGCCCTTCACAGCACGGCTTCGTCTGCAGATTTCGCTCGCTGAATAGCGCACCGTCGTGCTCAGTCGGCAACTGATCAAGAGACCGTCCCGTGTGGGTGTGGGCGGGACATCGATGAGACTGACTGTAGCCCAAGGAACCTGGGATGGTTGGTGGAAGAGGCACGAGTGACTGATCGGCATCTCGCTCCAGCAGTTTTAAGAGGCGCCAGCTACGTTCCCGTCGGGCGCTATCACCACCCGCCGAGAGACTGACCTGGGATCACGCGCACGATTCCGTAGATAGATATATATAGATATATTATAGAGATATAGAGATATATGATATATATAATAGATAGACGGAGAGATAGAATATATATATCTCTGCTCGAGCGAAGCCGAGAGCATGACGAGCTCGAGAGAGCGGAGAGAGAGAGAGAGCTCGCTAGGCGAGACGTCTATCGAGAGAGAAGCAGAGCGAGAGCATTCTTCGACTAGCTAGCTCCTAGTTATCTTCTCCTCTCTCTCTCTCTCTCTCGCTAGCTTCTCTATCTCTCTCTCTCTTTCTCTCTCTCTATCTCTCTGCCTTCTCTCGCATCTCTCTCTTCTCTCTCTCTCTCTCTCTCTCTTCTCTCTCTCTCTCTCTCTCTCTCTCTCTCTCTCTATCTCTCTCTCTCTCTCTCTCTCTCTCTCTCTCTCTCTCTCTCTCTCTCTCTCTCTCTCTCTCTCTCTCTCTCTCTCGTTCTCGCCCACCGTTGCATCGCCACTCACCGAGAGCCACGCGCGCGCTGGTGGCCTCGTGGTTGATCCAGAAAGAAACCCAGGAGAGCATGACGATCAGAATGGAAGGCAGATAGGTCTGGAAAACGAAGTAGCCGATGTTGCGCCGCAGCCGGAAGGAAAGCGACAGCCGCTGGTAGATGCCCGTGGCCAGCTTTTCCTTGCGGTCGTTGGTGGCGTGGCCGACGATGGTGAACTGGGGCAGCTTGGTGTCCTCCACGCCGACCACGGGCGTCTCCTTCCAATACATGACCACGTCCTTCACCGTGTAGCCATCTGCCGGTGTCGGGGCAGGTCAGAGATAGTGCCAAACATTACGGCCGGCTCCCTTCGGCACAGAGCAACAACCCTGTCCTTGCCCCTGACCTGGTCCCTGACCTTGTCGCTGTCCTCGCCCGACCTCGTTCCTGCCCCTGCCTCTGTCGCTGACCCTGTCCTTGATCCCGACTTCGTTCTTCATTCCGACCCTGACCCTGACCCTGACCCTGACCCTGACCCTGACACTGACACTGACACTGACCCTGACCCGTCCCTGGCCGCTGGCCGTCTGTGGGTGTGATGAAGGGTCGGAATCGATGGCAGGTGCGAGGAGCAGCGCTGCGACGTGACAGTCCAACGCGGTTTTGTCAGACAAAGACATCTGCCTCGCGTGGGAAGGTTCTCTCTCAGCAAGTTCTCACCAAGAGGGTTCAACCTGAGAACGCCCAATCTGAGCATCGCTTGTGAACAAGGAAGTTCAGTCTTATGATGCCTCATAGGAGCAGGTTTCAATTAAGAACACTTAATCTAGCTGAGGATGTTTGCTCCAAGGCATTCGGTCCAAGGCGGTTCTGTCTACGGGAATTCTGCTGAGAAACGCTGAAGGGGGCGGCATTTATTTACAATGTAAGTATGTACACTTAATTTACCCGGTTATGTCATCAGGGCACAGACACGTGTCAGCAATGGTGGGTGGACCCGTCATGGTCAGCAAGCGCTCAAACACGGTATGTGCATATATGTAAGATATATATATATATATATATATATATATATATATATATATATATATAATGGCAGCTGAGATAGCGGCCACACTAGCTTTTCCCAAAGCAGGCAAAATTGTGAATTCGTCCATCCGAAGGTGCTCGCCTTGATAGCTTGACAGCAGCGACTTTTTTCAGAATTTTCCATACGTACCGTTGGCCGCTCCATAACTTGCGCCCACCCTACCCCCCGCCCTCTCCCCCGTCGTTATACCATATGCCTACATGTTCCGAGTTGTGGGTTTTTCCCATGCCGGGTCTGTAAATGCTCTTTTTTCCAGGCAATCATGTAATATACTGCAACATGGCGCTGTAGGCAGTGCATGCCTTGCAAACAGCTGATCCCCGCCAGTACTCTTACGTATTATCGTTTTGAAAGTGATAGGGTCGGAGTCTCCGATGCCCGGCACTGCGTGACTTCAGTAGGCGGAGTGCCCTAAAACCTCAAAAATCAATGAAAAAGTCGGACACAACCGAGGTGTCGTAAACGCCACACAACTTTGGCAAACGGCGTTGGAAACGCATTTGGATGGTGTTAACGATATTGCTACTTAAACAGCGCGTTTAAGCGATTCAGGCATGTGCTCTACTGAGCCAGTCGAAACAGAGACACATTTTGCCGCGAGTCACTTGTTTTACATATCATACTTCGTTCCCGGATCTCTTAGTTCAGGAACACCGCACCCGACTAGATCGGAACCTATCATTAGCTTGTACAGCTGCAAGTCATCCAAAAGCTTTTGATTTCGTGTTTCCGTGTTCGTCATGGAACGCCATTCCGGGCGTGAGGCGTGGTCAGCCGGCGTTTGTTGTTTTGTTTTGGTTTTGTTTTGCATTGTTTTGTTTTTTAAGGAACCACTCGGGACATGACACTCTCCTGGTCCAGACAGCCATATCGTCGAGGCACGTGGCCGACAGGGGATTAAATGCCCGAGTCACGCGGGCGGTGCGCGCGAATGTGCCTGTCACGGGGCGGGGTTCCGGCGGGCGCTGCTGTCGACCCGCCCTCTCTCGGAGAGCCGGACTGGCAGCGGACGCGGCGGTCACCGAGAGATGGCGCGTCACGTCCGGCGCCCGCTGACGAGACCGCTCTGTCCGTCATCCCGGCCTTGGTGCTAATGACGCTTTTCTGACGATCAGCAGCGCATAGCTATTTGGCTTGACATTAGCCGACAACCGAGCAGTTTGGGAGTGAAGTGGCGTTTTCCAGAAATTACCACCGAACAGCAATGTCCCAACTACCGCATAGCTATACTCATGCATGACACCATTTTGTGTTATTGGCATCACACTACCCTCTCCCTCCCCGCCACTACACATCCATACTTATATTACTTATATCGCTGAGCAGTCGAAACCATTGCTATCCGAAACATGGACTCGCACCACCGCATAGGTACACACTCACCACTACATAGCTACCGTGCAGTACCTCACCACCGTGCAGCCACACCTTCACCGCCGCACAGCTACACTCTCACCATCGCAAAGCTGCGCCCTCACCATCGTCCAGATACACACACACCACCACACAGCTACACCCTAACCATCACACAGCTCTGCCCTCACCATCGCACAGATACACCCCCACCATTACACAGCTACACCCTCACCAACGCATATTTACACCCTCACCACCGCAAAACTACGCCCTCACCACCGCACAGCTAAACTCCCAATACCACACAGCTAAATCTCACCACCACACAGCTATACCCTCACCGCCCCACAGCTACATCCTCACCAATGCACATCTAGACCCTCACCATCACACAGCTACGCCCTAACCGCTGCACAGCTACACCCTCACTACCGCACATTTACACCCTCACCACGCATAGCTACACTGTCACCATCACACAGCTGCACTCTAACCGCTGCACAGCTACGCCCTCATCACAGCACAGCACCTTCGGTACTCACAGCTCTCGATCTCGACAGTGCAGTTCTGGCTATCCAGCGGGTAGTTGTGCAGGTCCATCATGCAGGCCAGCGTAGTCGTGAAGCGCATGCCGTACGTGATGCTGCCATCGCCGTGCAGCCGCACCATCTTGTTCTTCTCCGTTACGTCGTGCAGGTAGCTGTGAAGGCATTTAGAGAAAGCCGGGTAATAAAGCGTACTCTCGATATTATCGTTACTGCTCCGTCAGGAAAATAGCGGTGAATGTGAAGTAGCTGAATGGCAAGATGTTGAATTGGCCTTCCAAAAAAGATTACAAGACAAATGTAAGCAAAGCCAATCTAGGCAAATGTGGTTGCAAAAATGTTCGTAGGCAAATGTTCCATAGTGCAAACGCTCATCACCAGATGTTCGAAATGAGTTATGCATACACGCACAAATATTCGTGTCGCATATGAATGCTAGTATTGATATGCATAAATTTTCGTAACTGTTCATGTTTGGGAAGCATATAATCGTAATCATAATTATGTATGCATGAGCAAATGTTCGTTTTACAGATATTCGTATGGCGCATGTTTGTAATCGCGAATTTTAGAAGTACTAATGTTCGTATCACAATTGTTCGAATATGCGTATGTTCGCATCGCATATGTTCGCGTCGCAGATATTCGTTAATGGCTGCACAACATGTTTGCGTGCCACAGGTCTGTATCGCCAATGTTCGTAAATGAGAACATGCATTTGGTACATACTGACAACGCAGGCTAAAGACCATAAATTTGCTGGATCGAAATAAATGCAAAGCTCATTTGAGCCCAGAGCGTGTTGGCATTTTGTCGGGTAAGCATGACACGCTGCATGCTGATGCTGCATGACGATACAATGGTTAATGGCTATAAACATAGTCGCAAGGGGTCATCCGGCATGTAAGTACGCACAGACTGGCTTGGCCTGGCAAGGCTTTGATGACAGCGAAATCCAGACAACTAAATTCAGAACCTACGTCTGTCTGTCTACCGGTGTGTGCACATTACCTTTACATGAACGAACATCCGCCATGTGTATATTCACGTGCACGAGCACATTCTGTTTGAACGATTTCGATACACATCGACGAACAGTAGCGATGTGGACATTTTCACTCACGGACGTGCGTGCTTACGAACGTCTCAGATGCGAACAATTTTGATGCGCGCATTAGCAGTCAGGACAATTAGCGCTTGTGAGCATCTGCGATACAACTGAATCGTTGGTACATATATTAGCGGTTACGAACATTTGCGCGTACCGACGGCTGCCATACGGGAAAGTGCGATGCGACTCACAACGAAGGTTACGACCATTTACGTTTGCCAACAACACAACGTGCGTAAATTTGCCTAGAAACATCAGCCCTACGCAAATCTGTTGCAAGTGCACTTATCCGCTTACCGAAAAACAGTTGCGTTGATTTGAAAAGATTATGGTCACATGTTTGCGGAAATGTCAACATTTCTCAGTTGCTTTACCACATTTTACTTACTTGACACATGCCCGCGTGTAAAATTTGCGTTGTATCACCTGATACAACGTGAGTGAAGGTAACATGATCATCGCAAAATTATCAGAACATATTTACGTTTTTTACAGGGGAGTATAGCTCGACATCACTATCACTTCGTGGGGTTCATTGGGCTATGAGGTCAGATAAGGTCGGCCCGAAAGTGCCACGCGCTAAACATCACTGCTTATCGAGTGAAAGGGGTCACTTGATGTCAGGGCAATGCATATGTCGTTGCTAATGAATTCTCCGTGCGATGTGTCAAGGCCGACGAAGCTACTGAAATTGGGCAAGCTGAGGGGAAGAGAAGGCAAAGAAAACGTACGATAAAATAATATCGTAATCGCAAGCATTGATGGAGACCTGTTTTTGTCGTTGTCGAAGTAGGTGTCGGGCACCCATATCTTTTCTGCAAAGTCGCCGGACAACGTGAGGATGTCGTTGTCGTTACTAAAGGATAGGCGTTCGTCCTTCCAGTACTGGTTCAGGTACATGGTGATGGTGTAGTCCTGAAACAAACGGCGGCGTCAGCTATCCATCAGCTATCTCGGTACTGCGTTCCGTTCAGGTCTTACCACTGGTTTACCAACTGCCCAAGTCCATAGATAATATCACCACATGGTGCACGTTTTAACATTCTCGCGAGCGGGTGGTGAGGTATAAGACCATACAGGGCCAGTAAAAATTGAAGGACCGATCTCGTTGTTTCATTTTTTGCTCCAGGTCGTAGATCGAGGAGGAAAATTGAAGACTGACCAAGGCCCTGAATATCTGTTCCAGCCTAATTGCACTTTTTAATATCGCTAGTCCCAGAATGCCGCATTTCTCAGAATGCTTTTGGCAGTTTGTGTGAAAAAGTCGATATTCTGCTCGTCTTTTGTTTATAGTACTTGACGATAGCTTGCAAAGCCGTTGACCCAATTAATTATATGCCGCATACGTCTCTGGGCCCTTTTGGAAGATGCATGAAAGAAAAGACTGGCAAAACGTAAACGCTCGTCAGGTCGAAATCTTTGATCAAACGTCTTCACCTTGGGCCTCAGCGAACCGAAAATCTTGAACTGCACGCTTGTGCTAATGTTACAAATGTACCACGACATACAGGGGAGTTACTCTGTATACCCTCGGGTCCTCGGCGCCCGCTCCAATGCTGACCTGGGCTCCTGAATTCTTGTCTGAGCCCCCTCTGTGCATGTGAGCTAATAAGGGTATACTGGGTCATCTAAACCGTTGGTGCACTAGATCCTAAGGTACCTAATCACATTTTTTTATAAATCTTTTTCGAGTGGTTTGCATGGGTGACTTTGGGCTCAGCGCACCTGTTAAGCATAGCTTGTTGTGTGCACCTTGAACCCGCCACCCAAGTTGCGCCGTCCAGTTCAACGGATACTTTTGCCACCACTCTTTCGCCAAGCAGGCATGCAGAGAGCTTTGCGTACCGCACAATGCAGCGGCGCGGCCGCCCCCGGCCTGGGCTGACCCGTTGGCCAGTTGCCAGCTGACCTTTCCATTTCAGTCGGGTCAAACCATGCGCCCGCTCTGGAACCCGTACCCAGTGCCGCTCAATCACGAGTCCAGCATCTTTCCCCTAGACCACGGAGGCAGCATGATGTTACTATCAAGGTCACGCTCACCTTGAACCAGATAACAGCTCACCATAGCACCAGATAGTGTTATGTGGGCACGTAGTGTTTTTATACTGTCAACTTTCCTGTATGTATGCATGTAAAGTCAGTCTACAAACGTTGGCAGGTTTTTAGGAGGTTACAGGTGGATCAGTACAAAAAGGGACCGCAATATGCAGCATATTTTTTTAATTACAGGGATGGCCCAGATAAAACTAGATGCTTTCTGCGACAATGGCAAGCGTATCTGTTGCACAGTAGTGAATGTGGTGGCGTTTGACTGCCCATTCAAAGGCAAAACGCAAGTAACGACAATGGCGATCAGAGATTCCACAGTTATCGGATATTGACTTCGATGGATACTCCAGATGCCTCCTCGTGATCCAGGAGGCAAGCAACTGGAACTGCTGCATGCGGTCGGCTGCCCCGGTGTGCTCATTGACGGTGATGTGCTCCATCTCAAGTCTGAAGGCTGTCTTGAGCTCCCAAGGGTTCGCTGGCTTGCCCAGGTGAACGTGGGTCTTAGCATGAAGAACGGGGTGCGTGATAGCATAAAGTCTAGCATGAAGTCTAGTGGCGACAGGTCGGGCGAGTGTGAAGCCACTCTGACATTCTTAAGCTGACTCGCATTCTAGGGAAATGTTCCTCTAACCAATCCAGGGAAGCCCGTGCCGTGTGCTGCGGTACTCAGTTCGGCTGGAGCCACTCCTCGTCCGCGTTTGATCCCGTGAAGTCGTCCAGGGACAGCCCAGAGGTGTATCAGAGCGTTTGATCCCGTGAAGTCGTCCAGGGACAGCCCAGAGGTGTATCAGAGAGGAACCGATGCAGCGCTCTGAGGTGCTGCTGACAAGATCCTCGTTCTCGTTCTAAAATTATCCTCTGTAGAGTCACGATTTCACGAATGTGAGATCACGGATGATTGTCACTGATTGTGATCATGTTTAGCCATGGAATGGTTATTCGAGTGCACCACAGCATCACGTCGGATAACTTTTATCTGGGCCACCCTGAATAAACGGTTGTCTCACATAAAAACAGTATGTTTGCTTCCTACGTCTGCGACTTCTTTGCCAACATGATATTGTTTAATCGTCAAATCGAGATTTCGCGGCACAATCTCGAGACCTCATTCAGTGTGCCGGGCACCCGTTCGCACAGAAAAGCATAGCAATTTCAGCACCGTTCCGCTCACATGACTACGGATCGGTAAGACATACCGCTCCCGCTTTTGTGTTATAAAGACTGCTGTCTCAGAAGCCTTGGGATATGCCGACTCGTCATGCGTTGTGGTTCTGTTATGTGATATATATATATATATATATATATATATATTTTTAATCAGAACGAACATTTTGATCGGATGTCGTTCCGATGCAACCGCCTCGCTAAGCACTGTTCGTTGAGTGAGCCCTGACCCCACCATCCGACCGTAAAATCCCGGGTCAACGGCAGAATTTTCGGCGGAAGCTTCACGTACCGTAATGCTCAGCACGGTTCGTCCCGCCCTCTGACGTCATCTGGCTTTTAGCACGAGCGCTGCCACCGGCCGCGGGCCATCCCACTCAGGCACAAGCAGTGCACGCCGGAAGCGACTTAACCCACCCTGCCGTGGGTGGGTGGATCGGTAGGCAAATGTTTTAACCAACTGAGCTATCGGGACGGGCTCTAGCTCATATCGGGATGGGACGATTTAAAATAATTTGGTGCTGTATCTTCCATCCCATTGCGCCACAAAAAAAAAATGTTAAGGAATGCAATCATCATAGTTTGTGCAATGCACTCCAGAGCAAAAAATGCTGTGGTGGTGTTGATAAACTTTTCCGAGGAAATCTGGCCAAAAGCACAGCGTCCAAACCTTGGTTTTAATAACGCCTAAAAACACCAAAAGTCAAAGCCATGTCATGCCTAGGCGTCTTTTAACACGTCAAAGTGCTGTTCGCGCTTCTTTTTTAAACGGTCACCCTGGTGATCACACAGTCAATAGCTTTTACCTCCTACGTCGTTCCAATTATCTACACGCTCGTTGAGAGACCGTGCAGCTCAGTTTCAATTTCTACAAGGAACATTCTAGCAGTGTACACAAATGGGTCTAAACTAAGCTGTGTGCACGCACCAAGTCACACCGTTCTGCATAAAACCGTCTTTTCTTAGCCTCGGACCACCAATGATGAATACAAAACAATGCATATATTGGTTGATCACAGTCGGTAGATTACGATTATCTGTTTCCTTGGATTGCATTTCACTGAAAGCATTTTACAAGAATGCTGATGCGCATTGGCCTCAAGCAGGAAGTCATCCTTCGTCATCAAAGTAATGTTGGAATCGACAACACGTTCAAAAGTTTGTTTTGCTCTGACATCGGAGACGAAACTTAAAATGTCCAAAAATCACGGAAAAATCAGTATTGGGGCAGGTTAGGTCACCCTCCTCTGCTCAGTCAGCTTGGAAACTAGCCCGTATCTGCAGTCCATAAATCCGGCGACCGTTTCAGTCTCATAACTTCAGATCCATTTTATTACTATCCGTGCCCTCCAATGTCATGGAGGTATTGCGAGCAAGGTCGTCTCTATTCAACTCGTTGTATGCATCTCACAGTTGACTATGCTAGGTCTGTGCAAAGTCTTTGGCAGCGTCGACCACGGCGTGCTCTTGGGCATACTGCATTGGCATGGTATGCAGTCGAGATGGCTCTGGAGCTATCTCTGCGATCATAAACAGACGGTGGCCAGCAGCTCCTCTAATCCCTTCCCACTGACCCTCGGAATAACTCAAGGTTCTGTTCTCGGACCAATCCTCTTCCTTCTCTTCACCAATGGCCTATCCTGTAGGCCGAACATGACGCCCACGGCCGACTCTTGTCCTGCTCTGACGACACCCAACTTTATGAACACTCCCCACCGAAGTCATCGGTCCATCCGGACTCAGAAAACGAGTCGAGAATTCGATCTCTGATCTCTAATTGCAGTTCCGCACCAACACGCGAAAGATAAATCCGATCAAAACTTTGGTGCTCTTATTGGGACCAAGAAGTCTCTCAAAACGCGGAATCATTTCGCATAATAATATTGGGCAAAGATATGAGTCCCATTACAACCGTCAAAATTCTTGGCGTACTCCTTGACAAGCCTCTGACGTGGGACCCGCATATATCCATGGTGGCCTGTCGGTGTAAATCGACCTTATCATCCCTCCACCATATCCGCAGTTATTTTACATCCGACGTCCTCAAACTCCTTGTTCAGAACAATGTTTTCCCACACATCCATTACTGTCTTTCTGTCTGGGGAGGAGACACCAAGAATCAGCTTCGGCATGCAAAAAAACACAGAACTTTGCGGCTAGGTTTGTGACTGGGGTTCGGCGCTGGAAACACATTTCTCCTCGCTACAAACGCTGGGCTGGACACGAGTGGAGCAGATGGCGCGCCGCCACGACTGTACGCAGCTGCAGAAAGCTATTTTTTGCATCCAGCGTCCCCAGGCAACATCGGATGTGTTTGTTCGCTGGGCCCATGTGTCGTCGGGCAAAACCCGTGCTGCGGCGATCGGAATGCTGCAGCTTCTTAGATGTCGATTGCCCAAAACTCAACGAGAGTTTGCATACAGAGCCGCATCATCCTGGAAACGCAGGCCTACGGAGCCGGACGCCGGGACGGCAGTGCGTGATGCCGCTGCCCTGCGCTTGGAGGGTTTTGTCGTGCTGTGTGTCTTCATGGGGAGAGCTTTAGGCTGCACCTGCGTTTTGCTTTTGCTCTCGCTGCTTCATTTTGCGGTGCTCTGTTTTGTGTTCTGCAGCGTTGTGTTAACATTTGGACTTAATTCGTAGTAGCCACCAAGAAGAAAGTTCTCAGAATGGCTATGACCATGACTATGATGCCTCAC